AAACTATCACCTTATTGACATTTTTAAAAAATAATCATTTTGGAGGGAAGTTTTCTATACTATAAAATCTTAGAAGTAACGAGATAATAATAGACATTTAGAAGTAAGGAATTAAAAATTCTCAAAATTTAAAAGGCAAAACAATTGTCTCATCTTTATTCATCTCGTTGACATAAATGTGGTAGAGGATAGAGCTGAAGTCTTTGGCATTACTTCCAATTCCAGTTGCCTTTCCAACCCAGGGATGTGGCCCATCAACACTGTGTATCTTCTCCATCCTATATCCTTCTGGGGGAATTTAGAGAATAAGCATTATACCATATCAATGTGCAGTTGATACTTCCTTCATTGATGTCTTGGTGATCTCACCTTGTTAGTAGAAGCAGATGTGCTCATTTCTACCTCCTTCATGGTAGGCTGAGTCAGTTGTTGCTATACTGTGTGCTCCCAGCTTTCCCCCATCTTTGGGCTACCACAACAGCACTTTCATGAACATTTATATAGGCATATTCTTTGTGTTTTTCTCACACATGCATGTGTGTCACACACAATGCTCATTCATTATGAGTAGTACTCCAAGTGGAGTTGCTGAGTCATAAGTTCACACATGTTATGTTTTACTACGTATTCAATCACTCAGAAGTTGTCTTTTTAAGTGCGAGTCTTTCCATAAGCTCACACACATTTTCAGCTTCATTTAATTCACGAGTCACTTTAGTCTCTCATCCTCTGTGGATAGCCTCTCTAAGAAGGTAGAGACCATAGCCAGAGCCTTCTGCATTGGGTTTTACATCTTCTAGAACAAGCTAAGGTCAGGAACCTGACTAATTACAGGGATGCAGTCAGGTGCTGAACAATTGGGTTGTCCGGTACAACACTCTGAGATTAGGGGAAAGGTTTAGTAAAAACAAACAAACAAAGTATATTCATCTTTTTTAGCATGTACTGTTAATATCATTGACTCATATTTCATTCAATCATATCATAGGTGCCAGAATTAAAAAAAACTGATATTCTATCTAGTTTATACCTAGAACCATATCCATATTTATGCCTCCTCTCTTCCTTTTAGACAGGACTCACTTTATAAGTCATCCTGGCCTCAATCTCATGTTGATTCTCCTGCCTCAATCTGATAAATGCTAGAAATGTATATACTCCCCACCTCCCCGCCCCTCCTGTCCCCTCCCTTCCCCTCTTCTTCTTTCATTCACCCTCTCCTCTCCTCTCTTATCATCCCCTCTCCCTTCTTCCCTACCTTCCCTTACCCCGCTCTTCTCCTCTCCTCTCCCCTCACCTCCCCTGCTCTCCTCTCCTCTCCCCTCCTCTCCTCTCCTCTCCTCTCCTCTCCCCTCCCCTCCCCTCCTCTGCTCTCCTCTCCTCTCTCTCCTTCTCTATCTCCCCCCTCTCTCTCTCCCTCCCCAAGAAGAGGACTGTCCTGGGAATGACAGGTGAAGAACCACTTTTGTCTCAGTCACCTCTTGCACAAATTCTGTCCCTGTCTATGCTCCTCCTCCCTCTCCCTTCAGGCCTATGACAGCTACCATTCTGGATCCTTTGCATTTCCTGTGCTTCTCTAGGCTCTCTCTTCCATCACCTCACCATGCCCAATACTCACACTGATTCGCTGTTGCTTAAGATACCTGCTCCTTCTCCTGACTCTTTGAACTGCTATTCAAGATCTCTAGGATTTTTTCCTCAACTCATCTTTTACATTTTATGTCCCCCCTTTCCTCTGTCTTTATTTTCCTTTAGAAAAATTAAATGGTGCTACCCCCTTCAACATTTTTGTTTCTCTGCTGTGTTCTTTGTCAATCCAGAACAGCCCTTACCTTCTAAATCTGCCTACCCCGTGAGTCTTCTAGTGTCTTTCTCATGCTCTGCAAAATCAGTGAGACCTTTATCAGGCTGGTAGTGGCACAAGTCAGAACAGGGTGGAAGTCACAGAAGTTAGCTGTTGCGATAATTATAATCAAAATGGTTGGTGTAAGTATAGTCTAGATAAAGGATAAAGCCATTCTAACTGCTGGGCATGTTTTCACATCTACACGATGAAATAGACAGAGTGTGAGAGTGTAATCCCCCAGTTGCTGTATTAAAGTTTTAGGCCGCAGTTATGTTCTGCTCTGCTCCATTGAGGTCACTCGGTCAGGAAGTGGCCTAATGTGTGAGCCAGGCTTTGTGACTCATCACCTGTAAGAGCAGTGGACGTTAACCATGAATACTGTTGAATATGCTGTGTCTTAGTCCAGAGCTGAGGGTGACACTCCCAGCATATTGCTAGCGCATGCACTCTGTCAGTTGATTCTTAAGATAAGAACAATTGGTTTTACCTAATTTCCTTTGCACATTTTTTGTCTGTTCCCCCTTGTGACTCATAGGATACTTTTACAAGCACCTTAGGGGAAGTTAGCAATGTAATCCTGCCATGACCAGGATTGCTTTGTTGAAGGTAACTGTCAAGTATTGGAAACAAATCTCTAGACTCTCTGAAACTCAGCTCTTAGAATTTATTTCTAGCGATGAAAATCAGAAGCCAACTATATGTCCAAGAGAAGTAGATTGATTGCACACATTTAACCAGGTAGTATTAAAACATTATATGGATGTTAACCTGCTATCAAGTCTATAATCATATTGAGAAACATTTTTCTTTAAATTATTTCTTTAATATTACACCTATTAGCATATATATTAACTGTACAGATTAATGGGTTTCATTGTGATATTTCCACATGTGTATATATCATTCAGTCATTATGATTCCCCTTCCTTCTCTTTGTCACCTTTCCCCCTCTTCTTTTCCCCTTTCCCAGATCCTAATTAACTTAAAAAGCAGAGGGGAGAGACTGAAAAAAATCTGATGTGATCTTAAGGAAAGATAAAAAGCAAACTTGTATGTGAACACTGCTTCTATGTGCATAGACCATGAGTTTGTGAGTTACTTAGTTTTATGAGGTCCGTCCTTCCTTCCTTCCTTCCTTCCTTCTTTCCTTCCTTCCTTCCTTCCTTCCTTCCTTCCTTCCTTCCTTTCTTCCTTTCTTTTTTCTTTGAGACAAGTTTTCTCTGTAGCTTTCGAGTTTGTCCTGGAACTCACTCAGTATACCAGTCTGGCCTCAAACTCACAGAGATCTGCCTGTCTCTGCCTCCCAAGTATTGGCATTAAAGGTGTATACTACCACTGCCCAGTTTGAGGTTTCTTTTAATATTTTACTATGGAATGGATGGTAGAGTTCAAGCATTAGCTGCCTGGATTGCTTCTGGTTGCAACAGTGAGAGTTGAGCAGAAGAATATTTCCTTTGTCACACAAGAGAAGTTGGAAAGGTGTCCCCTCACTGCAGAAGAACACATACAACTTTCACAGACAAGAGGGCCAGGATGAGAACTTTAGAATCCACTTAAGAAGACAGGGTTAAGCAAACCTGAGATTCCTTGAATCTTCTGTACAAGAGAAAAGCTCATCACAGGGTTCCTTGTTGCTGGACACATCTCTGAGTCCTGACCCTGACAGACGAACCTTGTAATGAGAGACTGAGGACCACAAGCAGATGAGATGACCAAAATACCTTACACGTCCACAAGAGAACTAGAAATTACTAGAAACAAAGGGATATGCAAACATTGTTTTACTTACAAACAGATTTTAAAGGTCAACTTTGGAAACAGATGAAATACCTCATTGTCTACTTAGATTGTGAGCTTCAGCAAAATTTAGAAGCCGTTTAGAGTGGATATTTTGCCATTTTTTTTTTTTTTTGTGTAGGGTGATGGAGATAACCAGTCACAGATTGAGGAGGAAACAGTGGGTTTTTTTTATTTAAATTAGAAATAAGATTGTTTTACATGTCAATCCCCGTTCCCTCTCCCTCCCTTCCTCCCCAGCCTCCCACTGACACCCTACCTATCCAATACCATTTCTGCTCCCCAGGGAGGGTGAGGCCTTTCCACGGGGGCGGGGGTGTCTTCAGAGTCTTTCATATCCTTTGGGGTAGGGCCTAGGTCCTCCCCCATGTGTCTAGGCTGAGGGAGTATCCCTCTATGTGGAATGGGCTCCCAAAGTTCATTCCTACGCTCGGGCTAAGTACTGATCTACAAGAGGGCCCATATATTTCTGAGGCCTCCTCACTGACACCCATATTCATGGGGTCTGGATCATTTCCATGCTGGTTTCCCAGTGATCAGTCTGGGGATCGAAACAGTGGTTCTTAAGGGTGCCTCGTGTATTCACTTATTTCTAGGGTGAATGAAGCGTGGGGGAGAGATGATGTAAGCTGGACTTTTAAAATGTAGGTGAAGAGGAACTCAGGCATTCTAGTTAGACTTCTGATTCCGCATGTCTGGGTTTCATCCTGAGGCTGCATTTCTAAGAGGCTCTCTGATGCTGCTTTTGGCCCTTAAACCACACATTCACTTCAGACTATGACTTGTTAAAAATCAGCTTTATATGTTTCTAATTCAGTAAACAGATTTTTTCCCTTAAGAGTTCTAGGTAATAGAGTTGCACAGGCCCAGAAGAAACCACATAATTTAAAATTTGCACAATCGGGGCCACAGAGATGAAACAGTAAAATGGCCATTATGCAAACATGATCATCTAAGTCCAGATCTCTTGAACCTGCACAAAAAAGCCAAGTGTGGCAGCTTATACCTGTAACTCAAGGCTTGGGGTGTGTGAAAATGGAAATCGATAGTTGATTGGCTAGCCAGCCTGGTAAAATCAATGAGCTTCAGGAACAAGGAGAGTCACTGTCTCAAATAGGAGATGGAGAGTGATCAAGGAAGGCACTCACTATTAACCTTGGACTTCCACTTACACACATCATAACACACACACACACACACACACACACACACACACACACACACACACACGCGCTCTCTCACACACACCTGGTTAATGTATAATTGACCATAATATCATTTCCACTTAGTTTTACAGTTAGTTTTTGTTGTGTTTTGTTTTGTTTTTTTGTTTTTTTCCAGTCGATGGAAGGGAACTTTATTTGGTCCCAGGGTCACAGGCTGCACGGGGGTGCAAGTGTGCGTAGCACTTGTGGCAGAGCATCTTGTCACAGTTGTACTTCTGGGAAAGCTGACGAAGTCATGGCTTGATGATGCCACCACAAAGGCGAAGCACCAAGTGCAAGGTGGACTCTTTCTGGATGTTGTAGTCTGACAGGATGTGGCCATCCTCCAGCTGCTTGCCGGCAAATATCAGTCTCTGCTGGTCAGGTGGAATGCCTTCCTTATCTTGGATCTTGGCCTTGGCATTCTTGATGGTGCCACTGGGCTCGACCTCAAGAGTGATGGTCTTTCCCGTCATGGTCTTCACAAAGATCTGCATGTTAGCGCCTGCTGCTCGGCTGCCTCGTTTACAGTTAGTTTTATATGTAAGCAGTTATACACTTTCTCCATCCAACAAAAAATTAATTACTTCTGCCTCTAAACAATTACTTCTCCTTGCACACTGTTTCAGATTTCACTTTCTGCTCACCCTCGATCCTATAGTCTCTCCTCATCTTCTCACTAGTGCACCCACCAACAGATCTCTGATCCTGTTATGACAACGTGTTTCTTTCCTTATGAAATGCAGACATTCCTTCCTCCCTCCCTCCCTCCCTTCCTTTCCTTACTATTTTTTCTAGGCTTTATTTTATTATTTTGTGTGTATGACTGTTTTGCCTGCATATCTGTCTGTATATCCTGTGCATGCCTTGTGCCTGAGGAGATGGTGAGCTTCCATGCAGGGGCCAGGAATTGATTTGGGGTCCTTTGCAAGAACAAGTGCTCTTAACCACTGAGTAAACTCTCCAGTCCCAGAAGTGTGTTTCTTATTGCTTTTATGAATGGACTTGAGTCCTGGCTTGTTCTGTATTCCTGCCTTTAGAACCTCATCACATCTATGACATGAGACCACCTCTGTCTACTTTGGCTGGGGAACTAATAGAACAGGAAACAATTTGAATGAGTGTCAGAGGCTGGCCTTATCATGAAGTCACCCTGGAGATTTTTGCCGAATTTGACCTGACCACAGATGAGTCATCTGAAGTCTCTGACTCTTATATTATAGCCAAAAGTGTTTCGAAAGATTAAAAACAACAAACAAACAAAATCTCTGTGTGTGTATGTGTGTGTGTGTCTGTGTGTGTCTGTGTGTGTATGTGTGTGTGTCTGCCAGTGCACATGTGCATGGTGCACATGTTTGGGTCAGAGGATACCTTTTAGGAGTCTGTACTCTCCTTTAATCATTGGTCCTGGGGATCATATTTAGATGTGTAGAATTGGTGGCAAGCTCCTTTACATGCTGGGCTGTCTCAATGTTCCCCCAAAACACCTTTAAAAGTGTAAGATGCTAAACAAAACAAACATTTTGTTGTTATGGAGTATCTATCAATAACACTAAAATAGCTTTTTAATTCAGTAAAACTGAGATCATAAATGACTTGTGCATTATTTAATTAATTAATATGTCATGAATTTAACCATGGGTTTGCCCTATTAGTAGAGAGTCTTACAAATGTCTACTAGAGGGTGTGATACATAAGCCTTGTTTTCTACTAGAAACAAGGCTTAAATATACCCTTGTTTTCTACTAGAAAACAAGGCTATATTTTCACTCTCTTGCATGGTTCTGGTTGGAGTGGGATCACATATCTCCAGCTATAGTTGTCCCTGAGTTCTATGGAACTTTTTCACTTCTGGCTTGTGCAAGTCTATTGTGAACTATAGCACTTCCTGTGTGTGCCTTGTTGGGACTGTAACTTCCCATGCCTGCTTCAGTTTGGCCAGAGAAACAAGTCTATGACTGCTTGTGGACGTTGCCTACATGAAGCAGGCCACTTCATCCCTTTGGGCTGGAAAAACAGCATTCCTATGATGCCTGACTCATCTGAGCCTTCCTTTGCTAGAGTATCCTTTCCTGTAGTAAATTTCAGGTAAGAGAAATAGAGCAAGTCTTTCAGATGAGGACCTCGATGGAAAAGTAGTCCAGCTGCTTGGACATGGTAGAACACCCCTGTACTGCTGGCACTCTAGAGGAGTTGAAGGCCACCTTGGGCTATACCAAGAGACCCTGTCTCTAAACAAACAAATAAGCAAAGGGTAAGTCCAATGTCCTGTGTTTACATGTAAACTCCTTTTATTTTTATTTATTTTATGCATAAGAGTATTTGGCCTGCATGTAAGTGCCATGCCTTGTGCATACAGAGGCTAGAAGGGGGTGTTAAATGTCCTGGAACTGGAGTTACAGATGGTTGTGAACTACCATGTGGGTTCTAGGAATCAAAGCTAGGACCTCTGCATGAGAGAGAACCAAGTGCTCTTAATGACTGAACCATCCAGTCAATTAAATATAAACTCTTAAAGACCCAGATGAATAGACACCTAAGTCAGAAGAAGGTGAATCAGGATGGTGAAGACAATTGAAATACAGTGATGTAAGACCATGGAATCCAGAGCAAGAGGACTGTAGCTTGAACCTGACTTTCTTGCCTTCTCTGGGAAATCCTCAGACAGTTATCTCACCATTTGGTCTTGGTCTCCTCCCCCTTGCCAAGGGGATTAGTGGATCCAGTTTGCTAGAATCTAAACCGGGCAGGAACAGAGACCTTTGTTTTTACACCTAAAGTACTACAGAAACCTAAGACAGTTCCTGGCACTTAGTAGGTACTTATTTTGTATTTGTTTAGTGAATAGCTCTGCACCTGGCCCCTGAATGATTGACATGCCCAAGCCTCTCTATAATGCTTTTACACTGTTTCTCTGTGCATTTATTGGAAGGTATGGTTTCATTGGGGTGTTCCCATTGTTCTATAACATTAATAGTTAATGGACCCTGCCAGGAAAACAACCCCAGCCATTAACAACAACAAAAACCCAGTGGCATGCTTACACATCTCAATTCTGCCGACTGTCATTTATAAAACACTTACTGTCTTGAACTGAAGCAGATGCAACCATGTGAAACTTCAGCCAAGTTTAGTCTTTTAGTTTTTTAATTGTTTGCAAAACAAGATAGTTTATGCATATCCCTCATCTATTGAACAGAAGAAGACTATTCCCAATACTACCTTCACTTTCCTTCCATAAGTAGCAAATAATGCCAGTAATCCAAGTCTACTGTGATGATTTTCATTGACATGTGTGTGTATATGTGTGTGAGTGTGTGTGTGCACATGCATACACCACAGGGGGGTTATAGAGGTGGGAAAACAACTTGCAGGAGTTGGTTTTCTACTTACACCATGTGAATCTTGGGGATTGAACTCAGGTCTTCAGGTTTGCTGGGAAACATGTTTACTACCTGAGTCATCTCTTCTACCCTATAATAGGTTTTGACAGAGTTTATGCACTGGATGCCATGCTAATGTAGGACTGACTTCCAAAGATAGAGGCCAGGATCTGTGTAGTTTGCTTTGGTAAGTAGAAAAGAAAAATATACCACTGGATTTGTAGCTTTTATTACATTCAAGAAATGAATTCTCATAAATAAAGTTGTTTAGGCCAGCTTCTAATCAGAAAGTTGAAATTATCTGTGGCAAAGTAACCACTAAAACCTTGTATACTATGAAAGCATTTCAATAATTAATGCATGGCTCATCTAGAGTAATTGACAGTGAGGTCATAAATGTAACGGGCCATCTGTATTTGATTTGTACATGAGACTGCTTAAAGGAACAAGCAGGTAACTCTTGCTTTTTGGACAAGCAAGATTTCTTCCAACTTTTCTAAGTAACAAAGACATTTATTATATTTTTTTCTTGTGGTCTTTTTCAGGTTTCTATGTAGTCTCCATTCTTCTCACTCTCTCTCATTCTTAAGCCACAATACCCTTTGGAATATATCTCTCTCTCTATATATATATATAGCTACATATGATTTATATGTGTTTTATATAACACACATGTATATATGCATATATATAGATACTATTTACAGTCTTCCCCAAATGAGCTCCAAATCCTAAGCATTTCAATGGTATCTTGAGAGCTACATATCTAATGACAGTATCACAGAAGTTACCTCCAGTGTTGTGAATATATTTGTTCATCTTAGTCCCACCCCTTTGAACATTTATTCTCAAAATGTTTGCTCTTCTGTGAGTCAATCTACCTTGCTTGTATTGGCTAATAAACAATAATAATACCATTAGGAACTTAGTGAGATTGTCATAACTGTACCTATTTTGACGTGAAATAGGATATTCATATTTCTGGATATAACATGTTCATGAGCAATCCTGAAAGACATCCAAGACTTTCAGGGCATGAAAACCTAGAAGGTATCACATAGTTGTCTAGAACTCGGTCTTCAACTTCAAACCCATAAACTCATCTAAAAACACCTTCATATAGAATCCACTGAGCATTTATCATTGGCTAGGATACAAAAAGCCAACAAAGCCCTTGTCTGTGTGGCTCTTGCATTCTGATAAATAAAGCTTCCTCCTGGGCATCTTCTACATACCACAAACCTTACAACCATAAAACTGAATGGTTATATGGGGGTCACGTATAGCCTCCTCCCCACCTCTGTTTCCTAGACTTTCTGCTTTAGGAAAACATGCTACAATTTATCCAGTCATTAAGGCAAGGACCTAAAGTTAACCAAGCTGATTCTGTCCTCTTTTCTCTTCATTGCAGCCATCACTATGCCCTGAAGTGCTAAATGCTTACATCTGACTGGCTCTGCTTTCCTTTCTCCATCCCTATGAAGACAGCCCATTTCCTAGTGATTTGAGGGAGGAAAGCTGAAACATTGAGACAGCACCTACCATCATCTCTTTACTAGATATATTCTCTATACTGTTGCCAGAATGATGGTTTACCCATTAAAATGCAACTGAGATGATACCATTTCTTGTAAATATTCTCCCTGTGATGTTTCAGTAATTGCCTTGCAGGCAAAATTTCTAACATGGTATACAAGGAAGACATTTGCTACATGGGCTGAGCCTGGCATTGCAATGACAATTCTTGCCATATATCTCACGCTCGAGTTACAAGAATATAAGAATGGTATCCTAATCTACAAATCCTCAGTAACCAGCATTTTCCACTTTATATACCATTAAGTATATCTTTATCATCAGACCTATTTAGGTTTATGTGCTTGAGTACAAAATTACTGTTTGTCAAGAAGGCAAGTTGCATGCTAAAAGTAAGTTCACACTATATTTTGCTTTTAAATCTAGTTTTGTTTATAGCTGAGAATAACATATTAATGCATAAGCTATATAAATATTTTAAAGGTTGGGTGATAGGTCTTTGCAAACAAGTTAGTCCAGTGTTCATGAGACATGGATAAAAGATTTTTGGATGATGAGGTACATATTTTAAAAGGTTT